AAATAAAATGCTTCCCTTTGTGGGGGGGGGGGGGGGGGGGGGGGGGGGGGGGGGGGGACAAGGGGGGGGAGATAAGTGAAGAGACAGCCAGGAAAGGAGGGTGGAGGATGCTGGGGAGTAGAGAGGCGTTTCCTTATAAATAATGGGGAGGGGGAGAGGAGGAGTTGGGCTAAGAAGAGGTTGTGCATTGCCTGGATTCATTCTAGAAGGCCCTTGTGGAGGAGGAAAAGACAAGAAGGGAAGGTTGGAGGGGCACCATAGGAGGAGGAAGCTCTGGGTTCAAGGAAGGACCCTGGCACTGGAAGAAGCAGAGGGAATCCTAAGTATAATAACATTTATGCTGTAAGCATTTATTGAATGTTTATTGGGTATGGGGTGCTATGAATCACTTTGAAAGCATAACAGCCTCATCACAACCTGTGAAGTTCTGGTAATAGTGTTCTTTCACTAGGAAGGAAACAAAGGTCCAGAGGGGGTAAGGAACTTGACTAAGGTCACACAGCAAGTTGACTAAAGACCCAGGTCTTACCTCTGAGGAGGAATTCTTTGTCTGGGAAATTCACAGAGAGTTAATGATGAGGTGGGAGCCATGGGCTTCTGAGACCAGGATATGGTGTGAATAGGTAAGGGACCAGGGAAAGCGTCTTCAGAAGTCTAATTCCTTCCTTTCTCCTCAAGGCCCTCCATCAGCCTGCAATATGACCCCACTGCTCTTGTCCCTAATGGCTGCCCTGGCCCAGGTTCCTGTGGCCTTAGCTGATACCCTGGAAAGGGACAGCTCAGGTAAGCAGTGCCTTTCAGGGTCTTTGTCTGTCTTTTGTCTGTCTAACCAAACTCCTCCACTCTTGGGGAGAAGTCCAACTGGGACTCTTGGAAAGAATGGCTGAGTTGTGGGACCTGAGGGAGGGGAAGGGAGGAGAAATTTGGGGATAGGTTTGGGGCATGGTCCATATAACATGGCTTCAAAACTTTTTCGAGTCCAGGATGGGAACCTTGGGAGAAAGATGGATGGGGTTAGGAGGCAAAACAGGCATGCAGCTGGGAGAAATACTGAAGGTGACTACTGAAAGGAACAGACTGGGAGACTGAGAAGACAGGGAACGAGATGAAAGGACCTTGGAATGGGCCCAGGGAATCCTGGGGCGAGGTTGACTGGGAGACTTTGGGATGGGCCTGGTAGATTGTGTGTGGGGTGTCCCTAGATGCCCTAGCCTTATGGAGGGCAGGGGTCCTGAGAACGGGTTAAGAAAACTCAGCGCAAAGCTGAGGAATCCAGGGCGGGGCGGGGCCGGGAAACCCTGGGTATGTGTGTGTGTGTGTGTGTGTGTGTGTGTGTGTGTGTGTGTGTTGGGGGGTGCTGAAGTCCACACCTAAGTTGCAGCGGGCCCCCGCCTGCCCGCAGAGGACCGGGCCTTCAGCGTCCGCATCGCAGGCACCGCGCCGCTGCAGGGCGTGCTGGGCGGCGCCCTCACCATCCCATGCCACGTCCACTACCTACGGCCACCGCTGAGCCGCCGGGCAGTGCTGGGTTCCCCGCGTGTCAAGTGGACCTTTCTGTCCGGGGGCCGAGAGACCGAGGTGCTGGTGGCGCGGGGGCTGCGGGTCAAGGTGAGCGAGGCCTACCGGTTCCGCGTGGCGCTGCCCGCCTACCCTGCGTCGCTCACCGATGTCTCCCTGGCGCTGAGCGAGCTGCGGCCCAACGACTCGGGCATCTACCGCTGCGAGGTCCAGCATGGCATAGATGACAGCAGCGACGCTGTGGAGGTCAAGGTCAAAGGTAATGGGCGGGGTTGGGGAGAGGTTCCCGAGGAAGGGACGAGAGCTGTCTGAGGAGGGAAGCAAACACCGGGAAGGCACAGCTTGAGTAGAGAAAGGAGTAATGAGATAGAGGCTTTTGCTACCTCTTTTTTCTTTTCAAGTAGAGGAAATTCTACCCACAGTCTAGCTCAAGTCTCTCATGCTGTAGAGTAAGCAATTGGAACTTGACTCGTGTATAGGGCAGGGGTGTTGTTGTTGTTGTTGTTGTT